CAGTGTGAGGGACAAGGAAAAAAAGCAGAGGGGAAAATAAATCTCCAGCTAAAAGAAATAACCACGGGCAGTAGAATCCTGCTTTGCTCTTTTTAGTGTGAGAGAAAACTGGGTCAGGAACTCATCTGACTTTGCACTGAAAGATGAACCAGCAGAGCCTGCCATGGCTCTGGGATGTGCTGGTTTTCTCACCCTACACATTGACTCACATAGTCCTGTGCCTCTCACCTAAAGCTACAGCACTTGTCACTGCTGGAGGCAGGATGAAATCCAGAAAATCCTGACTTTTCCTCCCCCTATTGTTTGACTAGAAGCTGTTCTGCTGCAGCTGACAGGAGAAGAGTGGCCAGCTGGATCACAGTGCAGGGTCTCCTGGGAGAAATGGGGTCACAGAGACAGGGGAAATAAATCCTGGCTTAATAAAAAAAAAGACACATCAGGCAAGGAAAAAAAATCATGGAAACAGTTGAAACAATAAACTCAGCAACATTTGTAAGGGTGCTTGGACAATGCTCAAGCAGAAGTTTGCCAACCCCTTCTGGGTTAGATCCTGCTCCCCAAAGGGCCCTGCCTGAGCATCCTGGGCTGTTTGCAGGGATTCCACCTTCACCACCTTTCACTCCTTCCTCCTTTTTACCAATCATCTGTTGCTAGTCCCTTCCTTGGTTCATTCACAGATGTCACTGCAGATCTTTTGTACCAAATATTCCCTCCAATATATCTTTATGTTGTTGTTTTGTTTGCTTGCTTTAAATAAGCTTTTGTTTAATGGTATTTAAATATTTTTGATACATTTAAGTTTCACTAATGCACCCATAAATAATGAGATTAAACAGCTTGGTAATATAATTCCAGGGTATTGGATAAAGGTGAATGTTTCTCCCCATCTGTTTTACCAATAATCCAAGTTAACTCAGTTTCCAGACATGATCTCTAGTGAACTGAAGCCAGTGAAAAGGTCTCTGGTGACTTATAAGGACTTAAAGGAGATTGAAGAAAGGTGTCCTGTAAAATAAATCCCTGGCCAAACAAAACTGGAAAGGCACAAAGATTACAATTCCTCTATCATAACAGCAGTGACTCATCCCCTTGCATAGTCACTTGGGGTGAAAAAGAAAACAGTTACTCAATCTCTGAGGGATTTAGGCACAGAAGGATATATTATGCAAGTTTTAGCAGCGTTACTAATGGCCCTGAAGCTCACAACTCTACTGTGACTCTCCCTCAGCTCAGCCCATCACAAATAAGTTATGACTCATGGATCCATGACAGGAGGGGAAAACAGAGTCTAAGAAGTGCAGAGGCAGGTGCTAATGCAGGCACAGAGCACGCAGGCAAGGGAGATGAGAGTGACAAATCTGTGAGCTGTGGAGGAAAGACTGTTGCATGTTTGAAGACTTGGGAGTGTGGACTGGGTTGATTTTTCTTGCTCTCAGATTGCAGGGGCTGGTGAGTGCCAAGCCAGGCTGTGCACAGAGCAGAGCCAAACTGCTGGCAAGGGTCACTTGATACTTGGGAGGTGCTGGAACATCATGATTGTGTAGAAGCTATTAACTCTGACCATTTAAAGGCTAATTAAACCCACTGGAGGTTTCAGCCATGGCAGTATTTTGCCTGTTATCTAATTACTAACTTCCTCACGGATGGAGGGCTTTGACAGCTGTCCTGGAAGCATGATTGAAGATCTGGATTGTGGAACAGACCTCAAAGCCTGAATTAAACAGCTGGGAGAGCAGTTGTCCCTAAAGAAAACTCTCTAAGTCTTTATGCTCTGGAGATCCAATCCAAGTGCAGCTATAAATACTGCTTAAAGCCAAACACGTTACGGAAGTCAAATAATTAGGATGGTTATGTGAGAAAGCTGAAGCTGATACCTCAACATGTGGAAGTTTCTGCAGGTCAGAGCACAGTGAGGTGCTTAGACCTGTGTATGGGTAAAGACAACACTACTGTAGAAACACAAACTAGGTGTGATTTTTCAATTTTTACAGTTGGTTTGACCCAGCCAGTCCAATTTGTAGTTCCCTTCACCTAACTGAAAGATTCTGGGTGGTCAAAGGATTATTCCATGATAACATGTATATGGGCTTTGTTACCTACAAAAATACAGCAAATACTGTGAGGAACACCAGGATATGTTCTGCATTGTTGTTATCACAGAAGGGAGACCCTTGAGATTAACAAGAGTAGCACTAACGACACAAGCTTGAGTGACATCTTCTGATGAGCTCAGCTGCACAAAAAAACTGCAGAGAACTGCCCTCAAGTGACTGTATCTGGCATGTTTCCTTTCAATATTACCTAGTTTCAAGGTTTTTATTCTAAGCATTTCAACTATCAGGTCAATATGTATGGCATGTAGCAGATAGATATGTAAGGGATGCACCATTTCATTCTGCTGTCAGAGCTGATTAACATACCAGGGCAGGGTATTTTTGTACAATCTGGGATAACCTCCTGTCTCATTCCCACAGCTGACAGTCACCAGGCTGACTTCATCCTTATCTCCTGTTAAACACGTGTGGTTTGAGGTGATGTTATGCAGAATCAGAGGGGGGTTTGTGTTGGGAAGTAAAATGAGTACTTAGAAATCTGTTGTTACGTGGACAGTGTAAGGGAAAAGCTTTTTATCTGTATCCTTTGCCTTTTCCCACCATAATCCAGTGGAGGATCTCACAGCACTTAACAAAACTGTCAGTCTTACAAATTTCCTGTAAAGAGAGCATTGTCAGACTCAGGATTTAGCTGAGTTTTTTATCACTGTGTTAGCAACACACCTATGAAATGCTTTACTCAAGAAGGGAACAAAGAAACTTGGATTCTGCCTTTATTCTGCAGACATTCATGTGAACAAACAGGGATGTGGCCAAAGCCTTATTACAGATCCAACTGGTGCACCCAAAAGGGTAATAAAAATGCTTATAATAAAAACTAATAAAGAAATAATAAAGACTCATATGTTATCTGAGGGAAACAGAGTTTCAGTGATTTATGGTGTGATCTTTTTCAGAAAGAAACCTGTTTGTCTTCGTGACAGAGGGAGGTGATGTGCAATAGCTGGAACTGCTGGCCCTGCCCTCCGTTGTGTTGCAGCACTAATGCCAATTAAAGAGGTCCAGACTGCTTCCCCAAACTTCTGTGTCAACTTTTGTCACCTTCTTGCTGCTGTTGAATCCTCAGGGCCACCTCTCACCCGTTTAATTTGCTCCCAGATGAGGAGTGTGGTCACTCAGCTGTCTCTCTGTGACTCCCCCAAACTGCAAGTCCTGCTGCTCATCTGAACCCAGGAGGCCCCTGGCTCTGGGCAGCAGCTCAAAGGCTCTTTCCACATGGTTCCTTTCCCTCACTTGCCATTTTAAAGGAGTACATCTCTTGCTTCTACAGCCGTGCGCCTCCAGATATGGAGTGTGACTGGATGCAGAAGGGGCACCCTGAAGAACCCCGACCTGGGAAAGGCTCAGACTGTCCCCCTGCCCCCCAGAGCCCTGGTACCAGGCATCCTGGGCACTGCTCAGCACTCAGCAGGCAGGAAGAAAGGAGCAGCAATATGAGGTGAGCTCTGTGGCATGAACGCTTGTGTCCTTAGCACGATGGGACAAGAGTGGGAACCAAATACTTTTTTTTTTTCCTCAAACAGCTCTGAGAGAGTGCGTAGGCTCTTGGGCCTCTGGCAGGGTGGGTCACAGCTTTGTCCCCAGCCATTGCTGGCTCCCTGTGACCCGCACAGGGCTGTCCTGGCTCCCTGTGACCCGCACGGGGCTGTCCTGGCTCCCTGTGACCCGCACAGGCTCCCT